GTATTCAAACTGCCTCAAAATGTTTTCATTGGTGTCTTGAGTTCAATACCGACAAAAGTTTTTAAATGACAAGAAATTATGAATAGCTTATACATAACAGACATATAGTTGTACATAGCTAGAGTGTATATTTAGAAGATGTCATTATGCTTCAAATTAGAAAATTTGTGGGGTGAAAGCACAATGGTTGATATGTCATTCTGCATTTGATGAAAATAATTGATGACTTTGTATGGAAGTATACTCATTAAATATCTTAGATTCTATCAATGAAAGAAATATTTGCCTTTGAGAGCTTCAGGTTTTTTGGTTTGTTTTATCATTTATCTTATATTCTATAAATGAATGAAATATTTTGGTAGATTGGAGAGACTAGTCAGCTAGTGGATTTTGGATCATGACTTTTGAGGGGAGACTAGGCTTGAGCAGCTGCAAGAGTAAAAGGGATGATGCTTCACGTAAATTCAACAATTAAATAGGAGATTTTTGTTTTCAATTTGTTAATTCTTGAGATACTTGGTCATTTTTTAAGATTACGTGAAATAAAAAACTTGTATTGAATATTATTGTATAGGAGACCATGTAATTATTTTGATACCATTAAATGAAATTTAAATTCAGTTTACTTAAAAACTTTGGGATCTTGAGCAAGAGATGGTAGTCACGTATACGACAGTTTTGAAACATAAAAGACGACAATGTAAGAATGGTTAATTTTGACGATATCCATAGTTGCTTCCACTCCATTATAATGTCATGTAGATTATAAAGTGGCAATAGACATGCAATACAAAAACAATATGAAAGCAATAAACAAGCAATAAAGCGGCAATAGACAACCAATGCAAAAGCAATAAAATGGCAATAAACAAGTACCGTATGGATGTCTTTGTACTCTCTTTCCCATATTATATATTGTTCTAATTGTTGAACTATTACAATATTCAGTTGCTACATATAATAAATAGTACGTAAAAAATAATGACCATGTGTGAAAATTTCATATCATTATAATAATGACCTCAAAAATAATATCAAGTACATTACACAAATATTAGAAACATACGGCTCCACAAGAATAATACATGATATCTTATGTCCTTACTAACTCTTGGGGCCTAATAACAAGTATAATCAATGATGTGTACAGTTTGCTGCAAGTTTGCTTAGCATTTTCATAATAGAAGCTTTGCTTTTGTCTTCAAAAAGCATCTCAAAGAACTCCTTGTCTACACATTACATTATGCACAAAATGGTCTCCAATGCCAGTGTATGACTTGTACATCAGTGTCTGCACAAACCAGCTAAAACACATTGTGTAATTGTTAACCTTAAATTTGTTCTTCACAGGGAAACGAGTTGGGTGCGGCTTTTTCCTTGTGCAATTTGAAAAGAAAAAGAGAGAAACATAAATTGTCAAGACAAAACTACAGCAAATTATAATTTGGTCAAGAATTCACCATCGGAAAACAATATGCTTTCAATGAATAAATAACATATTAACTTTCAACCAACACTACTGCACAACTCATCTCAGAAACATGACTGAGATTTGACAAACATACAGGTAGAAGATCCAATCCATTAAAACACTCACATGCAAAAAAACAAACCTAAATTATACGCCAACTCAAGCTTCAAAAACTGAACTTGTTGAGCACCAGTCAATAACTTTTATAGGCAAATTGAAATCAAATAGAAATTACTTCAGCAGTAACACCTTCATTTTTTCAACCAAAGATGCTAGCTTCCTTTCAATATCAAAAAACACATTCAATTAGTCCCAAGATGTGGGACATAGATACCTAGTCTTTTAGATTACAAAAACAGAGTTCTTTTTCTCCAAACAAAAATATCTTAAAACGAAGGAAAGAAAAAAATGAATTAACAATTTCACAGCAATCTTTTAAAGAAACAATGAGATTGACAGTGATTATGGTTCCAAAACAATGCCAGACATTAAATTAACACATAAATGTTGAGAAAAATACAAAGAGTAGAGACAAAGAGAAAGAAAGAGATCGTAAATAATACTTCAGCGAAGAATAATCTCAACTCCTACTCAAATCACAAGCAGATAAAGAAAAATGATATCAACATATATTCCTATTAAATTACAGTAACATATCAATAAAACACCAAAAAAAATCAATACAACAATACCATAACAATACAAAAGCAACACGACTACAATACAACCGCAATAAAATCACAATACGATTGCTGTTCTTGAAGAAGGCACGTAAACCCAGACTTCAAAACCCCCCAAAATTGGACTGAAATGCTCAAACAATGGTCACCTAATGCTAACACATGCTATCATATTCAGAAAAGATGGTTTTGTTTAGGTTGCAGAAGGGATTCGAAGAGAGACAGAATTGGGGTTTGGATTTGGGTAGAAAAGAAAACAAAGAGGAAGAGGAAGAACTAGGTTTTGAGGGCAAAGCTGTGGGTTTTGTAGGTTGTTCTTGATCTTCTTCTTCGTGAGAAGATGCGTAGTTAGTTCAATTTAACATCGACGACTTCAAAACCCCACAAAATTGGATCAAAATGCTCAAACAATGGCCACCTAATGCCAACACATGCTTTCATATTCATAAAAGATGATTCGAAGAGAGATGAAATTGGGGTTTGGATTTGGGTAGAGAAGAAAACAGAGAGGAAGAGGAAGAACTGGGTTTTGAGGGCAAAGCTGTGGGTTATGTAGGTTGTTCTTGATCTTCTTCTTCGTGAGAAGATGGTAGTTAGCTAGAGAGAGAGAGAGAGAGAGAGAGAGAATTAAATTTCAGAGAAAAGTGATATGTGTGCAATAAGTGGACAACAAATATATATTTATAGGTGATAGTTGCAAAAAAATTGGGGAGATGTGGTATTTTTAGAAAAAAAATTATAAAAATGGTGGCATTTAGAGCTATTTCCCAAATTCGTAATCGATATAATAAAGTAAAAAAAAGGGTTACATAATAAAAAAACGAAAAAAACGTGAGGCGATTGGCGAGAGTCCCTGATTTGTGTGAGAGGAGAGCTTGCCAGTGAGTGAGAAGAGAGAAGGCATCGGATCCGGCACCACCCGCATGGCCAGAGCCGCCAACGCCCGCAACAGAATAGGTCAACGAAGCTAAATCTGTGTTGAAGAATTTGTCCCCCGCGCAATTCGGGGTTTGTATGAAATTCTGAAACCCTAGATCTCCAAGAAATCTTCTTATATTTTTTTGTTTTACAAATTTATAAATAAACCCAATCCTAGACATGTATTTATAAAAAAACCCAAACACTATTTAAACATATAAACACACCCAAAACCCATCATTACACACACTCCAAACCCATTTATAAACACACCCAAAAAGTTGACTTTGGGGTTGATTTTGGGTGTGTTTCTATGTTTAAATAGTGTTTGGGTTTTTTTATAAATACATGTCTAGGATTGGGTTTATTTATTTTTAGTGAAACTCCCTTTTTGTTTCTGCTTCGTTCCTCTCTCAACTCAATCATGTCTATTAATTTGATATGCCGACATTACAGTTTTCACACAGCATTTTAGCTGCGTACTTAGCTTGCTAGCTACCCATACATATGAAATGTAGGAGAAGGAAGTGAGGCCTGATTGTCTTTTAGAGCTTTTGGTTTATTAAAAATCTAATTGTTAGCATTCAAGTTTGGTCATCAACAAAATCATTACAAAACGTGAAGTTGAGAAATAAAATGGCAAGGGTTTTGTAGGAGGAATTGGAAGCTGCTTTGAACACTGTACAGGTTCCCAAAAAAAAAAAGGCAAGGTAGTCAAACTTCTATACGGCCTGCTTTCTCTCAATGACAACGAGTTGAGGAAACAAGTCTCATGGAATGAGCATGGCACTGGTTTTTTTCTCAACAAGAGAACCATCGAGGCCTTTTACCATGACAACTGCCCATGAGCATGCACATGAGCCCCATTTCAAGAGAGGGTCGCCCGCTGCACTGGTGAATGTCAAAGAGCTTCCTGTATCTTCATGCAACCACAATGCCAGGGTAGGGAACATGAATCCTCCATCGATAAGAACACTTGATATGAAGGTTGACAACTTGGGTCGAGAGCTTCGAGGAAGCTTAAGGGTGTTGAGTCTAAGGTAATGGAGAAGATGACTTCTGTTGAAACCAATATTCTGGATGCAATAATGAAATCAGAGTAAAGCTTTTGATAACAAATAGAGCTATGAATATTGTCTCCCCAAACTTTGTTGTGCTCCATTACCTAAGACTCAACACCCTTAAGCTCCCCCTAAGCTCTTGACCCAAGTTGTCAACCTTCATATCAAGTGTTCTTATCGACGGGGGAGGATTCATGTTCCCTGCCCTGGCATTGCGGTTGCGTGAAGATACAGGAAGCTCTTTGACATTCACCAGTGCAGCGGGCGACTCTCTTTTGAAATGGGGTTCATGTACATGCTCATGGGCAGTCCCTCTTCCACAATAAACTATCAAAACATATCATTGACTCGGTTATAAAAGAATTACAAATTAGAATAAATAATACGGATTGCATAGGTGATAATTAACTTACGAAGTGACTGAGTTGCTTCTTGCAACAGCCAACGGCACCGTCGAGGAATCCGGAGGTTCGAACCTTGTCATGGTAAAAGGTCCCGATGCTCATTTCATGAGATATGTTTCCTCAACTCGTTGTCATTGAGAGAAAGCAGGCCGTATAGAAGTTTGACTACCTTGCCTTTTTTTTGGGAACTTGTGCAGTGTTATAAAAGAATTATAAAACATATCATTGACTCGGTTATAAAAGTCAAGTAAAAGCACAATGGGTGGTGGGTGGTTGCATGTCAACCCCATCCAAAACAATCAAATCACAGAACAACCTCCCTTGATAATTCTGCAAGTATACAGTTTCAGTACCTTGCATATGCTTTTTTATGGGATCATTAGAAATCACTTTTCTAACTGCATAGTAGTACCCAGGGTTCTGATTATGCACCAACATTTCTGAAATTAGTTATGGGAAAGAAACATATAAAACATATCCTTTCAAATGGGTGCCGTGATTACATGCCTTCTTCATTCTCACATACAAGAAAGAGCACTTCATCCATTCAATTGCGCTTGGAATATCAGAGACAGTCACTTGAGATATTTCTGCGGTTAAATGCTCCCTCAAACACTAAAGCAATCTAATGAAAGGATAATACAACCGCATCAGAAGACATGCAATATTTTCCACCCTTAAAAGCTTAGGGCACTAAGTGCCCTATATTCATTCTGGAATTTAAAACAAAAACACATACTGTGATTCCACCATCTCACATTCATTCATGAGATTCTCGCACAAGTGAACCTGAGATCAAGTAAAAACATAATTAATGTATTCCTAAAGGAAAAGAACTTCTGAGACCAAACAGGACGAGTTCAATTGCTTAAGGTGACTACGTGGACAATAGTTAGAAAACAACACCAATGCACTCATGAATGAATTGAAGGAAGAAAGACATCAAACTACCGTATCTCTTCTTGTCATGATTATAATCATTCCTGTATCATCAAATGGGGTCCGGCCTGCCTTCCCACACATCTACAGGGTGATACAACTAAGATAATATTAAACTCAAATTACAGTTGATAGGACAAGATTTTGTTTTATTTTTTAAAACTTTTCCTGGAGCCATTTCTTTCAAATAGAACCTTGACGAAGAAACAAGACAACATGCTGGACAGAAGTATTACAAAAACATAGCAGTACTAAAAAATAATATCCCAATCTTATCTAATTGGAAACACTCCTCTTAAATAGTGTCTGAATTGACAAACCTGTAGTATTGTAGATTGGTCATATTCTGTCTGGAGACCTTTTTCTCCGTTGCTGGACAGAAGGCACAGTTTGATGAATAAACACAGGGGAGGCCCTCTCAAGTTTCATTACATCTATTTGAAGAAACGGAATTTCAACATTCAAGTGTTGTGTTGATTTTATGACTACTGTATGTGCTGGTAGGTTGACTCCATGAACAAGAGTATTTGTTCTGCACAAAATTTGAATATCACCCTTGAGAAAGAGACTTTCAATGAGATTACGATCCTTAATGGAAAGGCCACCATCCTGATAACCAACTGCAACCAAGCAATTTATATTATCAAAACTCATTGTGGGTCTTGCAGTAAATAAGTTTACTGCAAACTGAACAGCAAAACAAGTAGCTGTTATACCACCATAAGGAATATACGATTGCATTTGGTTGTCACTGCATGATAATGAAGCTTCCCTTAGCCTCTTTTGCTGTTCTCTGTTTTTAATAGAAGGATTTGAATGGCCAAAGGACGTGACTGTCTGCGAGAGTCTCTGTGCTGCTTCTTGTGCACTTTTTCTAGTTGAACAGAAAATCAGAGCAGATTTCCCTCGTGAATATTTCATGAGGATATCTGAGAATCAATTTTATGCATATAAGTTATTGATGATCTTTAACCATTGAGTTATAAAATCACAAGAAAAACAGATACAGATTTAAAGGCAGGCATCTATGGAAACGTTATCTTTACCGAAAAATGCAGTTTTGAGGGCGCTGGAAAAGGGAACAATGCAGTGAATATTAGTTTTATTCGCTTTCCTTAAAAAGGAATTTCTTGGGAAATAGAAGCATATGGTTTGAGATTATCCAGAACAGTAGTCTAAACAATGACCTTTTCAAATAGAAATTCATTTCTTTTTGGGGCTGTAGCCTGCAAAAGAGGTAGTTTTTAATATTAATTAACGACTGGGAACCAAATACAATCCAAGAAACCCTTATAATGTCCGACCTGAATCAGTGATCATACCAAAAACTTTTGTTCTCAACTTCACAGGCCTCACTTCCTCTCCAAACCTGTATGGACAGCAGAAATATTAACAATAATACAAATTTATAAATAAACCCAATTCTAGACATGTATTTATAAAAAAACCCAAGCACTATTTAAACATACAAACACACCCAAAATCAACTCCAAAGTCAACTTTTTGGGTGTGTTTATAAATGAGTTTTGAGTGTGTGTAATGATGAGTTTTGGGTGTGTTTATAAAGTATTTTGGGTGCTGAGTTTTTTTATAATTTCAACTTCCATTTTGGGTGTTTTAGTAAAACTCCCTAAAAATAACTGGATGCTCAAATTAATGAAGATAAGTTATATCCTAAAGCAGTAGCGTAAAAGGTTGAGATACCTTTTAATTCCTGGGACAGGAACCTTGAGCCATTCCGCTACAGTGGTTTACGCACATTGCACAATTAGTCAATCATTATTGCTTGTAATCTTTTAAAAACTCTAATCATGCTATTTCTTTTAACAATCAGAACTAACCAATGAATGCAAATCTCACCAAGGTCCTCAATATTTGGAATGGTGGCAGACACAGCAACAAAACGAACATGAGCCGGAGACCTTGATTTCAATTCAGGGTTGTGAGAGAGCATTTTTATTCTACTAACTATTGCCTCTAAAACCGCTCCACGAGGATCATTCAACAGATGAACTTCATCAATAAGTAGGAATTTTTTGTCATCCCTCGTCTCCATAAAAAAAGAAGCCCATGAAGCTTTAGTTTCGTCTGCTTAAGGAAGAAGAAGAAGCCGCATTTACGTTAGGGCATGATTTTTTGTCTGGGTCTAGGGTGAACCCAAGCCCTTATCCTTCTCTGTATGAGCGTGATCTCATATTTTCATTTTTCTTATTCAAGATGTGATTTTACAGTAACCTTCTTTTTCACTTTAACATAATTACATTTTTTTCTTCTTTTAATACAAGTTATACTCTAAATTATTCTATTATGAGGGATATTATTCTATTATAAGGGATATTAAAAGCGATATTCAGGAGGAATAATTCGAACTTGAGTGCAATGTGGAGGGACTCACTGGCAGAACCCAGGTCTGCAAATTACTGGTTCTTATAGTGTCTTCCAAAAGACTGTTTCTCATGTGACAGAGAATGTGTCCTCGCTCACCGATAAACATTACACCGCCAGAAATTTTGTACAACTCAACAGCAGTAACATCCATCTTCTATCTTCCAAGTGCAACAAGAAAACTTGACAAACCATTCACCATGAAATTTCAAAACTTTATAACATGGAACACCAAAATTATTGTCAATGTTGGCATATAGATTCCTTTAACTGAGTAAATTACAAGCATTAACAATTTCACAAAACTTCTAGTTTGGAGTTTGGATTTGATCCAATATATTACACAAATTTCAAACAATGAGATATCCCTTGAAACGGTGGGGTGATACAGAGCAAGTCTATCCGACTAGTGACTAATAACAAGTTAACAACAGCATAAGTACACCGAGACACAAAAAACATTTAGCATTAATAAGCTGGAGCTGGAACTTAGAATTAACATAAAACCCAAATGCGGGAAAAGGAAGAACCTAGTAGAAACCTAAAGATTATATTTGTATCTTTTATTTGTTGGATCATCAAACACATCCAAAGAACTGTTCCAAGGATGGGGAGTTGAACACATTAGAAGCAGCCCGTTCAGTTCTGGTAGGAGAGATGTGAAGCTGATACTTGATAAACCTCTGCAACCAGTAAATAAATGAATAATTCAGATGACAACCATGGAAATGAGCATATACATCAGAACATGGGGCATGAGATTGAAGAATGACGAGTAGAAAAACAAGGTAAGCAATAAGAATATACAGATAATTGAAAGATGATGTCAGGATTTGTGTCGATATGCCAATCTGGCTCCAATTGGCGAACAAAAGATGTTCGTCCATTCTCTGTGCTACAGAAGAGAACCTGCAAACAAATTACAAGGATTATGTAGATAATACAAGAAATTGAAGAAGGAAAAAATAACAGCATCCCAGCAAGTTGAATGTAATAAATAACTGAAATATCATTTCATCAACTAGTCTTACTTTAAGACTTGTAATTGTAAGTTGGTTTTTCAGATATAACAGACAGACTTCCAAAAATGAGTAAGAAAATACTAAGCCAATCAGAAAAGCACAACATACTCAAAAAACATCCTTCAAATGCCTATTGGAAATGGTGATGTTCCACTTCAACTTCTCTGGCTCTATTAAGTCATGTGTGGGACAAATTTCAATCAAATTCATTACGTTTTCATTATGTGTGACCACTTTCTCACATGCTGTAGTTTTTTCCTAAGCAACAATCAAACACCAGTCATTTTTTATTTGAGGACCTATTGGGCCTTCCCTCATTTATCTCACCCATCTTGCTCAGGGCCGGCCCCTAAGTTTCTGCAATTACTCTTAATTTCTTTCAGCCGAAATGGAAATATAGGGATCCAAGAATACAAATACTGGTTAGTTTCCAAGATCATGGCTCATTCCAAAAGCTGTAGTGTAAGCCTCATGAGTTCAAAATAAAATTTGTTTGTTGATGGTTTATATTGATTAGCTCCAATTCCATGTTAGATTCATTAAAAGTACTTTCAAAAACAAAGAAAAAGAAAAAGAATCTGCTTAAGGTGTAGAATGAAAAGTAACCAGAAAGCCAAACACAACTGCCTGCACATAAAGCTAATAACAAGCAAGCAGGATTACTAAAAAAATAAAAATAAAAGTTGGGATTCTCAAAAGTTATATAACACTATCAACCCATATACATACCTTTTCTTTCACCAAACCCCCAGATGTGAAAACCCCAGCATCTTCCAAAGCCAGTAGAACCTTTTTCTGAAAGCAAGAAGCAATATCATTTCACAAATGATAAAAACTAATATTTACAACACAGCAATAGGCATAGATAGAACAGTAGAAGTTAAACATCATGAATAAGAAATGAAATCAAACAACATCCATGAAAACCTATTAATCTCATAAAAAATTACAGAACCCAAGCAAAATGATTGATATAAAGAGGCTTGCACGCACTTCAGTTTCATCGTCGAGAACTCTTTCCATGAGATACAAATCACAAAATTTTGTGATCTCCAAGAGTACTTCCAGCACTGAGTACCTCACAGTCACTTGTTTCTGCCAGGCACAAGGTGAAAAAGGTAATGTTAATCCTTTTCCAGTTATTACAACTTCCACCACTAAATTTACAGAAAGAATGCTACTGGAAAGACAATCAAACACCTGAAGTTCTTCTGGGATACTTTCCTCCAGGACTACTCCAAGTAAACGACAAGTTACCTGCAGATAAACTTTAAAACATGAATTTGTTGATGCAAAATTAAAAAGAAAATTTTTTCATGCTTATACAAATTGATCAAATTTTCATTACATTACATGACTTCCTAGGGTATCACATAGTAAATACCAGCTACATAACCAATATGACACATTTGAAGCTTAATAGTTTTAAAAACGAAGTGCCACTAAATATAAAAGCAAAACCCAAAGGTCATGTAGCTTCACTATATCGAGAAGACGAAACACGAGTTCTCAATGACACTTACCTTTCTTCCTTCACTCAGTTTCTGCCGAACTATTTGCCCCAAAGTTGGCTGGAATTAGAAAAGGAAAAAGAAAAAAAAGGATTCAGCATAAATAAACAATGTCAATACTGGCATGCAAACCCATCTGGCAGACATTTACCTTTACTGGCTGAAAGAACTCATCAACAACATTTTGTGCTCTTGTGTCCTCTGAAGATGAAACTCCTGAAGTTGTCAATGTTGCATTTGACTGTGAACTGATGCCAGAACTACTGGATGTAGGTGCCTGTCTCTTTGGTTGCCTTCTTTGAGGCCCACTGGGTGATCTCAGCAGCCTCCAGGTGAAAACTATTGCAACGGCAAAGCCCGCGATAGCCCCAATAGAACGTGCATTCTGGTAACATTGAAAAATCTTGAGACAACTCAACTTTGACATCTCTATTTGAGCATTACTTTGATACTTATAAGCCAAAGATGAAACGTAATAGAATGGGATAATCCCAAAAAAAAAAGAAAAAAAAAAAAAGATACTAATATACCTATGAAATCCACTAAACCCATCAGGCTTACAGAATTCTATTTTTCTTGTAACATACATTTTAGCCCGTGCATTTGATCTTGAAACAGAAGAAAAAAGGTAAAATATACCACTTGACACGGTTCGCATTAGCTTCACTTACCTCTTGAGTATCTCTTGACCCTGAGTCAATTTTACTTATAGCTTTGAGTATCAGGTGAGAGCCAGTCATTGTACAAAAAGTACACTAATGCAGGAAATGCATGACACAGGGTTTCTGGGTACTAACTAAAAACATGCAGCAGATTCGCATCACCCATCGCAATTCACAAATTGGAGATAAAGTAATGGAAATTAGGCTTCACTAAGTTATATTGAACGGAAAGGGCCAATGTTTGCAAGTATGTCTCTTTTTTTCCTACGCTACAAAGTATCAAATATGGTCATCCCAAATTTCTCTAATTGCCAGTTATGGATCATTTACGCATCAAATTTTCTCAAAAACACCAACATCCTAAATAAATTCACGTTGAGATAAGAACCAAGTTGCACACAAATCAAATGAACAAACAAAATTGGAACATAAAATGATAAACCCATTAAGCAATTCAAGATAATTGACAGATATGAACAATTTTAGACGGGGATGCCATTCAGATCCGTCAGAAAATTTGACAAGATAAGGAAAAAAGCATGAAAAAGAGGTAAGAACCAGGTTGTGGAGGGAGATCGGGAAGATACTAGACATCTTCACAGTGAGATAAGCCCCGAAGCGCTTGATGAGCTGAAGCAGCTCTTCTTTCGAAGACTCGGTCATGGCTTAAACCGACGACAAGTCGTCGTTTTGAAAAGCTTAGGCGTCGGCGAAGCCAAAGCTTCTGATTAATACTCAGCGCAGGACCTCGGCTCCTTCCCCTTCGCTTTTATCTCTGGAATTTACAAAGAGCGGAAACTTGTGCCTTTTTGTCAACGATTAGAGAGAGAGAGAGAAAAAAGTCTTTGATGCGAAATTGCGATTTCTTTTTTCTGTGTGTGTGTTTTTCTTTCAATAGTTTTTTTTCTTTTTCTTTTTGCTACTAAATTAAAAGCAAATATTTTATTATATTATATAGTTCAATGCTTTACCATATGGTCTATTTTTATCATATATGAACATTCTGATTTTGTTTTCTACATGTTTTTTAACGAATGGTTGGAGGAGGGGTGTTTCCATAAATATTCATTGGGTGCTTAGGATTTCGAACCTTGACCTGCATGGACAGAGGTGGAATAGCTCAACTAATTCAAAATTTTCCTATATTTCCCATACAAGGATGTTTTGTACTTATTAAAACAGATTATTTGACAAATCATATTGTTATTGTTTACTAACTTTATATGATGTAACAACTATTAGATTCTTGTTGTTACCAAATTTATATGGTGTAACATGGTACTACTACTAGCCACTTGTTTATTTGAGTTACCACTTGAGGAATTTGTTGTGAAACCTGAAAAGAATTGGGCTTATAAGTGAAACTAATACCAGAAAGAAGTTCCTGGTTTAGCTTTCAACCTTATTTTTCCAATAGCAAGAATTAGTATTTGTGGTGTTCCTGTTTGTTCTTGATATTCTTTTGCTTTCTAGTTTTGTTGCTTAATCCAGGTGAATTTAGATGAAGTTAAAGTGGGGAAAAAAAACAGTAGAAGCACAATCACAGGAAGCATAGAATATCAAATAGGCCAGACAGAGAATAAGTGTTGCCTTGTACTCAAGGAACTGAAGTTGGAACTTCATATATAGTGTTATTAGCTACATGTTTCAAATTTGGAATTTTGATTAAGGGTTGGTATGGTTAGAGGTTTAATTAAGAGACTTAATTAGAAGGGGCCATGAATGGATGTAAAATGCCTTGGAATTCATCATATTTGCACAATATAAGGCATGAAAGGGTATAGCTAGCAGAATTTCAAAAGCAATCCAAGAATATGTATGATCCTCAGAATTCAGCAGAACTTATGTGTCTATCTCTAAGCCCACCAAACTGCATTCATAGTCTAGATTCTAGTTATAAACTCCAATAATTTCAAATGCAAGTCAAGAATTAATTCCTTTTGTATAATACTCAATTTTGGAAAAAGACAGTCACAAAAGCTGAAGCTTCTTCTTTTACATGAATGACAAGTGATTTTAACAGAAGAAAAAAAAATGGGAAAGAAAGGAAAAGGTTAACCATCTCTAACCAACATTATGAACCTTGCTTGCCAGAGAGAATTAAGCTACAGAAATTTTTTTTTGAAAAACAGTTCATCAGGTCAGTCCACAATCTTAGGTGGTGAGGAACTCTGTGTTTTCTGATATCTGAGGTGGCAAGGAATTCTGAGAATTTTCCCGTATTTCGGCCACATCACTGAGGACTAACAATGGCCTTTCAATCCTTTGGAATGCCCCATTGAGCATCATTTCTTTTTCTAAATGGAAGCAATAACTCTCAAAAACTCTAGAGCTCACCATGACACCAAAATCCAGCAGGAAAAGCAACTCCACTTCTAGTCTGTTCAATTCAGCGTTGCTTACTCCGCCAACCCGGGCATAAAATGCATTGTTATAATGCCTGCAGCATGCATGTTGTAATGTAAACAGAAGAACAAACACAATCAAAATTTACAGCAACATGAACATGGCAGACTTCTATGTGCTGGTGTAAACAAGGGCTTACTAATTCCAATTCAGGAAAAATATTCTAGTGCTAAATCAAATGCAGTTTTCCATAGTAATTGATTTTATATTATTCAGATACTCTGTTGCAGCTAAAGCCATACAGAATTTGGGGCAATCTGAATCAAATAAATTACACAATGAAACAAAATTTGGAAACTTTCCAGCATATCATTGAGAGAAATCAAAATCCCAATTCATGAAAACAAGGAGAGGTAGATATATATAAATAAACTTACACATCATCTAGCATCTTAGAAGCAATCATAACGCTTGTGACCAGCAATCTATGGACATTCAAGGACAGCACAAGAGAGTCGGGGTGCTTATGAAGCAGCCTATCTATGTACACATACCCAACCACAAAACATGAAGGGCTACAATCCGTGTACTTGTAGAGCCTCTCCAAGTACTTGGGTATGCTTATGCTTGGTGCCCTCACGCCATGAAACACATTCAAGCTCTTCCCAATCTCAGCCGAGCCACAACTCTGTCCATCAAGTTGCTGGCTCAGGCCATCTGCAAGCGTGTTATTTCGAGCAATCAACTTCTCCAGCACGAAAGAGAGTATGGTTAACACTCTCGGGATACTCGGCTCCGGCCGGCCATGGTGATTGGTGAACTCGTCGGCGGCTAACATTTAGCTCATTATGGTTGTGGTTGCTGGTTTTCAGGTGGAAGTGCGAGGAAGAGTTTTGGGTGCTTTAAGACTAGAGAGGGTTGGCCTTGCCGTGCATATTATCTGGGTTGGGTTGGGTGGCAACGACTGACGAACTGGGTGTTTGACACGTGTGCATACCATCCGGTGGCTGGAGGCTGGAGCTATCGAAAGGTGGTGGTTTGATAAGTAGGGTGGGAGTGACCTTGAGCCAATTGATTTGGCTTGAAGGGAATCCCACAAACGCATGCGATTTGGAGATAGGATTTTAATTGGCCAGCACCAAACCCATGAAATAAGTGGTGCCAATTGATTTGGCTTGAAGGGAAACTTCCTAGAATTGAATTGCGAAGGGGCAGATCCCAAAATTTTAGACGTTCTAAGCAAAGACAAAGGCATCATTATACAAATGTTGTTTCACAAAATGAAGTGACGTATACATTATCTCCTCACTGTTGAAATGATGAACCTATTCATTTTATAAACAAGAAACGTTTTTCATTTGTTCATGTAAATTGAAATTGAAAAAGGCGATGAGCAATCCCACTAGGGAAAAAAATTATACAAAGCTAGGAATGATGATTAGAGGAAGAGAATAACTTCTTAACGGCCTATACATTGTGGCCATTAGAAACAAGTAATCTTTCTTCCTCATTTGCGGTGTCGCTCATGGAAAGCTGAATGTTTGACTTAGAGTTCATCTTGTTCCACTCGTTTTCTACACGGAAGAAAACCCATTGAAAGCGACGGAAAATCTCCAAGGCCGTGATTGCGAACACGGTAAGGTAATTGTGGCGAAGATGGGAAGACAGCTTGTATGTCCAGGTACAACGCAGAATCAAGTTGCTACTTATCACCCAGAAGTAAACCTGCAACACATTTCACATAAAATAATTTCAAGGCAAGTCACAAGTTGAGTCATTTGGTTTGCATAGGAGTGTCAAGGCCACCTTGCATGGGATTAAGGAGCCAAAACCAACCAGGCAATGTGTCAAATAATTAGTTTGTGTAATACTACTACTGACACCAGAAGATGGTATATACCTACCCATTTCCGTCCATGTATGAGGTTTGACAAGAGATGTGCTTTGCCGAACTTGAAAATCCGAGTGAAACCACTGACAAAAGGAAATCAGATATTTAGAGGGCATGGCAAAATGATATTAATGATGCAACAAGTTGAAAGCATGAATAATCTGTGTTCCAATATGTCCTGGAACATTTATCACTGATTTACAAAGAAGCAAACCATCATCAAACGACATAAAAAATTAAGTTCCCTCGTTGTATGACATGAGTTCATTCTAAATCTGGTTGCATATAGCAGTGATTGCGTGGTAATTGTATCTGATGGATATTTCATTCCAGCAGTTTGTTAACATGTTGATTAAGGTGACATAGGAACAAATGTGAAATATTAAAGGTCACAAGTTCAGCATTTATCTACTATTAATATTGTGTGAAATAAAAAGCATTTCACCTACCTCAAGTCCCAATCTCTAGTCACGTCCCAGTAGAAAGAGTACAAAGAGTTCAAAACACCTGATAGAAGCCAGAGGGGCCGATAAAAGTTTGTCCACTTCTCAGGAAAGACATGATATTTAAGGGCTGAAAGATAAATCACAGGTACTGCAGTTGAATACTTCAAAGCTGAAATCAGGAGCAGATAAATTTAGTACTGCAATGAAGGCAACAAATCAATCAATACTTCAATAGCATACAATGCAAATAATACAGTTGGCACGGTTGCGGTTATCACAGTTGCAAATGAAAATGTAACATGCATAAAAGTTCTATCTGTGAATGCAAAAGTGAAATGTTGAGAATTGACAGAAGTAAAACAGAAATTACAGAGACCATTAAAAGTACTTGCAAACTTAACTTTAATTAAGAGAAGGGGAACAGAATACCTATTGCAAGATCAAAAACTAAATTCGCATATACTAGATAATAGGATGTGTTTAATGGTTTTTGTAATATTTTATTTTACATAGCAGTGCAAAACCAAAATTCTCCAAGTGTCTCAAAAACATGGATGAGTGCCACTGAGGCTCTAAGGAGGAGAAGAAACATGTCCAAATGAATTGAGGAAAAAATTTGAGGCCAGAGAAAAACATTGAAAAAGAAACATTTAAGAAAAGTGGCCAAGTGAGCATACCATTTAGAAGGGTTGTTTTCTCGCCAGTATCCTTATATTGTCGAAGGCATTGGAACAAACGAAAAAGGTAAGGCAAAACAAGAACCAAGGGGATTGCAACAGAGTGACTGCCACAAACGGAGTCAGCTTCAAACCATGCAATAGTAGCAACCTGTTTTCAAAGAAAACGTCTTAGAGAAAAAAAAAAAAAGTGAAGTATCACCAATATCTCTTCAACAAACAAAAGTCAAACAAGAACCGAAAGAATAAAGTTTTATTTTTCATCAGCAGAAAAGAGAAAAATTAAAGCAAAAAGCATAGACGAAGAATCCCAACTCAAAAGTGAAACCCTAACCTGTCGATGGACCATTCGACATACTGATCGCTCCAAATCTGAAAGCACCTGCATAGAAATGACAATCATAATCAGAATAGAAAAGCATAGGGGAAATTAGAAATCTCATCACAAATGCCAAAGCATTTCTTGATTCTGCACTCCTATTAGGTTAACCATATATACTATAATTCCTTAATCAACAACTATATTCTACTTCTATAAATAATTATTTAAAAAGAAAAGAAACACAAGAATGTAAATAGATACACACTACACAATTATCAACATGTTTAATATATCACAAAGATTACACTCATGTGAAATGACTTGGATAATGATAAAATTAAACATAGGATGCATACCTTGGACATGGAGGTCAAAATATCGGCCAGGAAAAAGTCAGAAAATGATATTGCCTGTATTCGGCAAATAAGTAACAAACATTAATTAAACATCCTACACACAAACAACAAAAAACTCAAAGCACTAGTTGAGACCAGAATATAAACTCCATTCCTAAGCAACTGGAAGTAAGTAATTGGTTTGGCTCTGCAGTGCTGCCATTCTGGGAAATTTATAAGAGGATAATGTTCAACTTTCACTTTTCACTCTCATTGATGATTGATTAGTGAAACATAGTTTCTAATACGTACAGCGGCTACGCATGCAATGGGACCCACATTAGCAATCATAGCAAAAGTTAGCATGATAAAATCCGTATTTCATACATTCAAGTTCTGAGAAAACCCTAATCAATTAGTCACATCCTGTTCACAGTGCTGAACATATATCCAGACAAAGTAGGGAACCATCTCTAGTACAGGGAATAATCATGAGGCAAAATGATAACTTTGGCCTTGTTGAAACTGAACCCTCTTAACAACATAAATAGACATTAGGAAAATAAAACTCTAAGCTTCTTAGAGGTTTTGCATGACAAGGGAAATCATATGACCACTTAACAAACTTTTTTTTTTCTCCTTCACAGTTTTCTAGCTCAAATTCCAAAAGATAAACAAGCATTGTGAGAAGTATTTTGCCAGTAAGTAGGAAACAAAAACAACAGACAGGAAAAGGAGCAAAGATTTGTCCTGAAAGAAACAAACTTGCCTGTAATGGGAGAACTATGCGCCAAAGAGTCCTTAACAAGTAAAAGCGAGATGACAAATAGAAAATATCAAAAGGGAATATCAAAATCATTGCAACAGCAGCATATAAGAGTACCTGCAGGAGAATGTATGTAAAACTTAGCATAATTACAAGATACTAATTGAAGGAAGGCAAAACATGGGCATTGACATTGTCAGTATGATAAATAATGTTAGGCAGATAATATAAACAATCATAAAAATATAACTGCACCATTTATTCTATGCACTGGAATACATCATTTAGCTTGGAAACTTTGGTCATTCAAACAATTTCTTTTGAAAAGCCTGATTATTCAAACAATTAAACTTTCGTTTTTTCAATCACAGATGAAAGTGGACTTATATAAGTATTTCATAAATCTTGTGAATTTTAGGTAAACACATATATAAACAGAATATTGAAAATAAAAAAGATTTAAGCATAAAACTTAGTCATTACAGGAAAAACAAAGTCTTCAACATGCATAAACTTCATTGCCCACCACTAGTTTCCATTTACAATTATGCCTACAGAAGTGCTCAATAAAGAAATTTCACTTGATATTAACAAAAACAATTGGAACCACTTTTTCCAGTCACAAAGTTAAGCACGCTTTGCAATAGCAGTTTTGGGGTGGCAATGTACTGCCAAGTCTCCTGTAGTACCCTTCCCTTTTATTTATAATAGTCATGTGTATATATATATATGTATGAAATTAGTATTGAATACATAATATAATAGTCATGTCTACAACAATGAGACTGGATGCATCTATTACACTGGTTGCGATGCAGCAAGTGACACTTCTCCATGTGAATAAAGATAAAGATATGCTGTCATGCTTGTTGGCACAACGATTGTCATCCATGTGGCACACTGCAAATAGCATATTGAATGGTAAGAGTGAATCAATGAAACAGGAGGTAAAAAGAAGGAGAAAAAAATCAATGGCAGATATGCCAAAAGTAGTTGACCAACAGAATTCCATAAAGAAAACATGCAACCTCCTATTAACAGAAATATCTAAAATGCAGTATGCTCCTCACAATTATTTTTCTTCCAACAGCACAATTGAAGATATTTTTTTTTAATATATTTAAAAAAAAGGCATTGAAAGCTACATGTTATGACTTCTGACCTTTAAATTAAAGAATAGTTAACAAAAATGCCACTATACACAGTCAAAACAGATGAAAAATATAATTCCATAAGAAACGTGAAAATACAAACTATGCATTACAAGCCTTATGTTTGTATAGCATAACCATTAAAGTCCTGGATGACAACAGCACCAGAAAATAACTCTTAGGCTAATGACTCAAAATGACTGACTTAATGCACTGGTACCTTCCATATTTCTCTGTGGGTCAGATGATTTTGATCGAGATCAAAAATTTTTGCATAATTGACATTGGCCTGAGCAAACACCCATAAATTAATTCCCCAAAACCAAACCATCATAGTCTGCACATATAAAAAACGGAGGAAAAGATTTCAATATAAGGATATAGAATGCAAAAGTATGATAGGATAGTCAATTCTGAATAAGAAACCATAACTAACCACAAGAAGTAGAGGATTATAATACAAAAAAGCCTCATATAGAAATAAATCTCGCAGATCCACACTCATCCTCATGACAGAATCCCATCCAATCTGCAAATTTAGAGGGTAGTTTGGTAACAACATCCTTGCAGCATGATCAATATTAATGTATTTTTTGGTTCTTGTCACTTCTTATGGCATTAAATTCAGATCCTACAATCAGCAGTAAAAACAGGATTATATAGAACTGACCTTGCAACAAATGAAACCCCAGACAAAGAACAGTAGGACCTGCATACCAGATCAACTTAGAAACCAGAAAACGAAAGCAAACAAATAGAATATGAGAAAACATATATCTGGCTTGCTATCAAGTAAAAACCCATCCTAATTATCAAAAATACTCTCAATGAAGCAGAGAAGAAATGACCACTTGTATTCAATCAAACTTTGGTGATCCATGCAATCTATTTCAGAATTTTAAATTTCATTCTTCTACCAGGTTGAGAAATTTACAATTATCTAGCAAAAAGCAGGAAATAACCGGAAAAATGTATATTAGAAATACACAAAAATATTATAAATAACGAAACCTTGAATCTCCATAACAAAGCTGGAGATGGCATTATTGCAGCTGTACTAATTGGCATGCTTCCACCCTTCATATCGTTTGCTTCTGTCAGATTCAAGAAACCCTCCTCAGCACCATTTTCGTTATCACTTATACCTGAAAGAATTTTTACTTTAACTATTAAGACAGTGAAGGACAAACAAAACCCCAAGGTAGATATATCTAAACAGTAACCACAGAACTCATAAGTCATAACCCAAACACTAATTGTACCCAGATCAGAGACAACAGGTCTGCTACCCGACTTTCTTAAATGTGGACTATTGGAAGGAACTGTCGCAAGACCTCCAAACATAGATAAAACTAGCAATTAGGAAATTTTTTCGCCGCGTAGCCAGCCAAGAACCTGCAGAAAATGAAATCACAGGGAAATATAAAATATGCTTCCAAAGTTACCACAAGAATTTGGAAGCAATTGCCTTAAAGTTTGGGAGGTTGGGATGTCAAATAGAAGTAGAACAAAATAGTGATTTACAGATACAAAAGTTACTAGAAGGAAAACATAAATGGAGCTAAATGTTTTGAAATCCTGTACGCCATCTATAACCAAGTTCATTATTCCATAGCTCTGATGTGATACAATAACTAATGCAGCTTAAGAAAAAAAACAAATCAGAGCGATGCATCTGAGCCACAACAGAAGAACTAACCACAACATTAAGAGCTTAACACTTAATTAAAAAAAATTCGTCCGAAAAAAAAAAACACTTTATTAAAATTAGGATCCCTCCAACATCCAGCATTGAAGGGCTAACTAAAGACTCTTGCCTTTATGAAAAACCATCACCTAATTCAACATATGATTAGATGTATCAACAAAACCCGACCAATCCCATGGCATCAAAAAACTATAACAATGCGAATTAAGCAAACCACCTTATCAAAATTGTCTACCAAATTCGCCAAAGCACTTCATGAACATAGCTTCTCAAAACCCAAATCCAAGTTCCCACCAAAAATCCTAAAATCCCAGAAACACCAATGGATACCCAGTTCCCCAAAATTCAGCAAAAAGTAAGAAAACACCAGAACGAGCAAATGCAGAGAGGTATAACTGGAAAAGTTGAGCATGGATCAGATCCAACAGGCTTTTTAAAAAGAAAAAAAATTGAAGGGTTTTGATTAAACAAAAGTACCTTGCAATGCGAACCTTTTTACGGGTTCGCTGGATCTCCAACCTGATCTGGTGCAAAAGGTTGATGGGGTTTGAGTGTGGACTAAGCAGAGGGAAGACGTAGAATGGCAATTAGAAATTAGAAAGAGACCTATTTTGAAAATTAAAACTTCAGGGAGGGGGATTTTTGGGAATTGAAATTGAAATTTAAGGCATGTTTGGTTTCGCCTTCAAAAACGTGTTTTTGGACCATTTTCGTATTTACTATTTAGAGACGATGAAAATGAGAAGCGTCAAATTGGAAAGAGATGCCTTTCCTCGTCACCTCTTAAAACACAAAGGTATCGGAAAATGTATACGGTGTCGTTTCCATTTTGGGTAAATAAACTATATGACCAGACGAAAAGGAAGTAAAAGCCAAAAGCCCAAAACAAATACAAGAAGTTCAACAACAAGACAGGCCCAACAAAACCCTAAAGCCTTAATAGCTGAAAAGATCCAGTCAACACGCCAAAACAGCAAGGCATCTTATTATTTTGGTTTAACAACACACAACACAACACGACCAATTAATTAAGCGACTTTAAAAGAAAATTATTTTATCATTTTTAATTATATATTGATGCCAATTCGTGTCAAGACATGTTAATTTGGTGTAATGTTTCAATCTCGTGCTAAAATTTTGAAACAAAAACAACACGACATGACACAATGTTGTGTCGAAATTTTATAAACGTCATGTTAATTTCGTATTGATTTTATATCCTTCACATTTCATCTTCCACCTTATTCTTATATATAAATAAATTTGTTGAGTCTAACTTTACTTACCATACATACCCACCAAAAAAATATTGTGTCAATTACAACAAATTGCAGAGTATTTAACAAATAATAAAAATAGTAACTTACATCTTTTAAACCTCATCACGTAACCTGAGATGAATTGAATGAATGTTCATCAGTTTCATTTAATAGAATTACTTTTCTTTTTTAGAAAGTTAGTGTCACTTGCCTCATAACATACCCACGACCAAGAGCAACAGTGTGGAAGTTGTTGGCGACAATTCTGGTTGTGGTTGTGGTGGTTGCGGCTACGGCTCGAGTCGAGGCGACTGACTATGGGCCTTGTATCATTGGCCGGGACTCGTCGTGCAACGAAAGACAATGGCGGAGGCCAGGAGGCTGGAACAATTTGAATAATCCTCCAGCAGCACCCAGCCCTGATCAGCTAACTCCTACTCTTGATTCCGCGGAGTATGTTCATGATATTCCAGAAATAGAACCATCATCCTACGTAGGCCTATGATCAACAACCTCTGTTGGCGTGACTTGTGGATATTGACTTACTTTCCTTACACACCAAGGATTCCTATTTTATTTGTAATTGATTTACTTTAATTCCTGATTTCCTACTGTAAATAGATTTAGGAATTTATTATTTACTTGCCCATTCAGGTTTTGTTGTATTATAAATATGACCTCCTACAAGGAGAAGAATACATAGAAAATTCCCACAAACAAATATTCTCTTATAGTTTTCATATTTTAGCAGACCTCATCTTTGGTTTTCAGATTCTCGCTCCTCCCTGCCTTTCAATCTTACAAGGTTGTTTGCTCTTCCAATCAAGGTAATAATCTCAACCTATCCTTGCTCTTTATTTTAATTTTTTTATATAGCAATTTATGATTTCAGATTATACATGGTGGGAACCAGACCTCATCTTTGGTTCCTTCTGTATATTTGTCATCACTCTGTATCTTGTAATTTTGGTCTATATTTGAGAAGAGGAATTGGGTCTGAATGCTTCATCAACTATTTAGAGAGGAGTGCTTGCAGAGAACATTATAGCCGTGTTTGCAGAGAACATTATATAGTCTTTATATATTTGATTTTTCATTTTCATTTGGGTCTATTGGTTGATTTTGAGTTATAGACAATAAAAAAAAAAGAGAGATAAAAAACAGAGAACATAAAAGATTTTATAGAAATAATAAGATTAGAAAGAGAGACCAAAACATAGAATAGAAGCATACATGGTCATCCTACAAGTTAATAATAGTCAAATTGTACATGGTCATCCTATAAGGTAATAATAGGATACAGTAAATTCTTCTGATTTGTTCTTTTTCATTACTGTGTGTTTGATTAGGCATAATGACATATCATGAGTTTAGACTGTTGTATGTGGTCTATTTATGTCAATTGCCTGTGGGTCAATGGAGATTGTTCCATCACTTTTTTTCTCTCTTTCTCTCATATGTAAATGGGGCAAATTAACTTTCTTTTGTGTTTACACAGCATTGAAGATTCTTTTCAGATTGGACATGAGATTGCATCTGAAATTACTGCTATGAAACCAAATCCAATTGTTTGGAAGATGGAAAAAGTTTATAGCCCGTGCTTCCTCCTTATTAAGAAGCGTTATGTTGGTTACAGTTATGAAAGCCCTGAACAGATTGCCCATGACAGTTCGCAGGGATACATGTGGGGCTGTTGCCAAGACAATGGAGCAGTCTTTGAGACTTTTTTTTGAACATCAGGATATGTATGAGGTACAAAAGCATGTGCTATTCCTTTTGATTGTACTTGAACTGGTTTGATAAAATCAAGGGTGAAGAGCAAAAGATAGGACGTCCATTGGTTGTAAGTCAATCCATGTTCCCATGTTACCTCTTTAGTTTCATAGATATCTTGTATTTGCCCTGAGTTTTTTTTCCTTAAAATAGCTTTTACTGGTGGTTGACTTGATTTCCACGGTTAGATGATGACCTTTGTTTTTTTTACACAGGTTAGAGCATACTTACAGCGTCAATGGAAGCGGATTCTATCTGGAAGGGTGTCTCTTCAGGATTTTGTATTTGCAAAGGAGGTTCGCCTTGGCACCTACCGTGCTTGTATCTATTTTTCTGTTCTTATTTCATTACTGTCTGTCATGTATTGCCTTCTTGATATATTTGATTTAACACATTGACTAAAACTTTGTTTTGGAAACAGAACTAGCTCTGTTCTTGTTTTGGCAGGATAAACAAACAATGTTATTATTAATGGGAAGTAGCAGCAGCCCAGCATTAGTGAAGATTCAAAGGAAGCTATGAAGCATGCATTCGAACTCTTTAATGTTCGATTGGAAGTAGACTTTGGGACTAGTGATATAGGACATAGCTTAGGATTGTAATGAATATTTGTAATTTATTACATTTGTCTTTTATTAATGATGATATATACTATTCTTCGAACAAATGACATTTCTGGAATATAAGCTGTTCTTCCATGACCCATCATCCAATTTTACGCTTCAGGGGGAGATACGAAATGAAGAGCAGAATTGGAGCAACTTGGAAAACGAAGAAATTCTCCTATGTACAGAAATGATTGATCATCCCGAGTCTGGAGCACAAGATTACTCTCTGCCGAAAAGCGACCAATCGCTCATTCATAGCGATCAATTACTTGACCTACCTGATCCATACGAAGATATTTCTGATCCGAGTCTCACACCTACAGACAATACAGAACAACAAGATGAAGACCCCCCTTAACTTAACAGTACCAACAGACCAATCTCCTGAGAATATCCTTGAGGTAACTACTCCTACTAGACTTGTGCATTTAGAGGATAAAACTATTGGATATCAATTACCTTTCAGGCAAAATCGTGGGAAGCCACCAAACCGCTATTCACCTGATATTGGCAAGACATCCAAGTATCCAATTGCAAATCATGTATCTACTGAGAACCTGACTGAACCACTCAAGGCTTTTGTGCATCAGTTGTCTGCTATCCATATTCCAACCAAGGTCTCTGAAGCATTGAAAGATCCTAAATGGGTCCAAGCTATAAAAGAGGAGATGAAAACTCTTGAGAAAAATCAGATTTGGACATTGGAGACTATACCATGAGGAAAAAAGACTATCAAATGTAGATGAGTGTTTACTATAAAACACAATGCAGATGGATCTATCGAGCGATACAAGGTAAGACTTGTGGTAAAAGGTTACACACAGACCTATGGTATAGACTATGAAGAAACCTTTGCTCTAGTTACAAAGTTAAACACCGTCAGAGTCTCCAAACTACACCAATTTGATGTAAAGAATGCTTTTCTACATGGTGAACTCACGGAGGAGGTGTACATGGACATTCCTCCTGGTTATAATACT